CAGAATGGTAAGCTGGACAGACTGACGGAAACTATTTCGACTTTATTATGAAAAACAGAATAAAGCTGACTGATCCTGCTTGAAAGGAACTGCCATTTCTATACATATACGGAGCAGAAATTCTGTGGAATGTCAGAAGTTGGAGAAACATGTATTTAATAAATAATATAAAATGCTTTTTTGTTAAAATAGAATTCTTGGTTTTATACCTACATAGCATAGCAACCTTTACATAAACAAAATAAAGCTGAGTCTGTGATGATTAGTTTAACACAAAATAAAAATACAATTTAACAATAGTATTAAAACAGCCAATGTTCAATCCACACAATATGTACACCATGGAATAGAAATCAACAGAAAACAGAAGTAGATTATCTTGAAATTCCTCAGACACTTGGATATACATATGTTCTCTGTATATTTTAGATATTTTCCTTTTTTTTTTACAATATTAAAATTAATACTATGCTTTTTCAAAATATGCTTTTCAGATATTTTAATCTGTAGAATTGACTCATCCCTTATATTAATCAACACAACTAGAATTATTTACTTTTTACTGTACACTTCAAAATAGTCCTTCCTCCACATATATTTAGAGTGTGAGCATTTCAGAGTTAAATTAACTGCATCATTGCCATCTGCTGTGTGGGGAACAGTGAAACCAGTGTGCGATTGCGAACGCCTGCAGTACGTAGATACGTACATGATATTCAAGAAGAACCTAGTCCTAAAACTGATCAGCTGCCAGGAAAACAGCAACACACAGAGCTGCAGGTATTTCACTGTTCATGAGCTAATTTACTGTCGTCGGAGACTGTAAACCTATGAAACGTTGATGCGCAAGTCATCACGCCCATCGGGGGCTTGATGCTACTCATAGTGGCAACGCTGCCATTGACCTCAGCCGCACAAAATCAACACCCCGAGCAGCTCTACTGGACATCAACAGCATCCGCTTGTACAGGATCACAACTTGGATGAACAGGTTTGTTTTTAGCACCAAATACGCAATGTTTCCTATTATCTACTCACTGGACTGCAAACACCTGCATTTATATTAAAACCAAAACCAACCCAATGATCATATTTCCTTTTTTCCCCCCCTCGCAAAAGTGGGAGAAGAAAGACTTCTGCTGCGTTTCTAAAGGAGAGTTGTCGAAATTAAGGGAAACTCGAATGCGACTAAGCTGAGTGGCATCTCCTGGAGCTGCGTGCTGTCACTCTCGCACAGCACCGTCCCTACCTGCCAGGTTTCCCATCCGCATATCCAACTATTATTAGCATGCTCAGTCTTTGTTTTGGAAGCCTAACTGGGGGGTAACATGCCGGGAACGTCAATGCAAGCTGGATCCGCTCCAGTATTTACACCAGCAGGGCTGATCTCACAGCAGCAGTCTGAGAAGTAACTCGTGAGACTGCAGCCGTAGATTTTGCTGGACCAGTGGTGAGACATAAAGCTCAAACACAACTAATGTGAAGAAGCTTTTGTACTTAGTAAACTGGATACAGTTACATGAAGGATATAAAAAAAAAATTAGTACATGTTCCTTTAACATTTCATGAATTTGCAAAATAATTACCACATATATTTGAATAATAAAAATTGCCTAACTTATACCTGCAATGACGGGACATCTCATCTGACACGGTGTCCAGGGAACACTTTACAGCACCGGCCAAGCTCGTGCCCAGCTCCAAACAGCACCTCAGTCACACTCTGCTTGCAACTGGTGCTTTGCTTCTCCTACACTTAAATTTAAACTCATAAAAGTCTGATTATGGCAAGAGTTTTCTGTATCTCTGTCTTGAAACAAGACATTAATTTAGAGCAAATCCCACATATCAAAAATGCCACCCTACCTCAGAGTGGAGGGAAAGGGAAAGGAAAAGCACACAGAACAGAGCCGCAGCTCTCCTAAAAGTCACCGCGACCCCCCCGAGTCCAGCTCCTGCAGAAGCTGCACCTCTTTCTACGATCACGTCACTCACGCACTTGCTTTCCAGGCTCTAGTCTTACTGCATTTGTCAGCTTGTACGTCAGAGACAAAGAATAATTAGAAAATAATCCCTGCAGCACTGAAGGCATGTGGATGCGTCAGGGGAGTGTTTAATATGGCTCTATCTGGGATGTAATTCTCTATTTTGAAATATAAGAAACAATTTTCGTACACACTTAAATCTCCAGTATGGCTGGGGGTTTTTTAAAAGACTTTCAGAGACTTTGTTTAAAAATCTGCGTTTAATCATTCACTCAGCTCTGTTGATGCCTGAAGGTCTAATTTCTTTTATCTTTACTTCCCTGAACATTTGGAAGAAAAAAAAAAAAAAGTCCTACAAATGTGGTCAAAATGCGTAAAAGACAATACCATGCCTTATGTTTTCTGCGTTCAACAAGATTTTCTACACATACAGCTAAAGACCCTCATGTAAAATAACACCATCAAGAATCTTTGTCCAAGAAAAAACTTCAGAGAATTTGGTACCTAAACCAGGAACAATCAGTTTGGAGTATCTAGTATTTTGCTTTGAAAGGCAGAATTCCAGCTCTCCTTCCACACCAGAAGATCCAGTCCCTTCCACGCAGAACCCCACTTGTTACGGGGATCCCAACCTCCCCGACACATACGCGAGTTTTTCACCATGGTAATCTTTCTCTCCTAACAGCACAGTCCTATATGAGTCACAAATATAAAGCTTTCATAAATTGTCAATAAATCAGTTGGCTAAAGAAAAACAGATCTTTTACTATTCCACTCCCACCTGACATTGGCGAGCGGCGCTGACCGACGGCACAGCTCAGCTGCCAGCGGTTTCAAATCGCCATGTACCTGACGAGACGATAAGGACCACGCTAACGAGCATGTTCTGGGGCCATCCCAACTCCATTACGCTTCACGATATGCTTATTTCCATAAGTCAATACACAGCCTTTGTTTCATACAAAATCTATGGGTTTGAGGCACAATTTCCCAATTACAGATCTGTCCCTCCCTTCCTCACAGACACCAGCATCCGGAATCTATGGTATGCTGCATCAGAAACTGCAAAACTCTGCCAACAAGGATTTAGCGTAAAAAGCAACTGTGAAAAATATCTAAAAGAGAAGAATGGAACTGATAACGTACTAAGAAAGTATGAACAAGTTACGTGAGAACTAAGAGCGGTTTTTATCACAATCTGAGGTTTTTTTCCAAATCAAGAAGAAAAATAAGAGCATTGCATGGTATCACAGGAAATGCTTAACAACATCTAGTGCACAGTCAGCCCCAGTAAGATGAGATATTTTCTGTGCCACACCTTAGTAAATACCACAACCACTCCTTACGGAGGATGCTGAGATGCTAAACATCACTTACCAGTAAGAATGACAAATTTGAAAAATAAATGGGGAAAAAAATCATTAAAAGATATCACCTGACTCACACGGGGTATCTTCCAAAATGCATTTTTCCTTTTATGCCACACCAGATGATAAGACAGAGTTCGCACACATGTGAAAGCACATGCTATGCAGAGTTAAGCCACTCCCACTTCTAGAAGCAAATACATCCAATTTTATTACAAGTGGGTTCAGAATAAACAAATACTTCCAAAACAACTCTGCTATTTTTGCCAATTTGTACTTTTCTACAAGGAAACAGGTCTAGAACTCTGTGGTTGTCTGTTAGCAACACAAGCGAGACAAACAGTGCACACCAGGTCAACAGAACAAGCTGTTGGCGTAACTTCTCCCATTTACGGAGATGCAATTCCCATCGTCTTTAGGGGCTGTGAGAGTTGTACCACCGTAATTAGGCAGAAAATATTCTAAGGTGTTTACTGAATCAGAAAAAAGCTTAAATTAAGCCCTGACCTATCTCTTACAAAACATCACAATAACCAGGGAAAGGCTGACTTCACATGCTTAAAGTTGTCTAACAGTTAAGAGATTCTATCTTTACTTTAGCAAGATTTTCCACATGACACGACTGATGTCTCAAGTAGAATTAATATAAATCTGGCATTTGATCAGCTCATTTTGTCAGTTCCATCCTCAGTATGCTCAGACTGTTTTCAATGTGGACAGTTGGAACTCTCTAGAAAAGAAAATTAAAAATCCTTTTGCAAGCTGAGCCATGTGATGTGCGCATGAACATCCTGAGCTGAGCTACAGTGAAAGTCTGGGATATCTATGCTATGAGAACGCACTTGCTTCATGTTTTTGTGTACAACAGAGAAGGATCCACAAGTCCCATAACTGAAGAATGATCCAGAATACGTACCGAGGTACCCAGACATTTTAACCCAGTACATGCACTAGAATGCATCGGATTTGAATAATTTCTTTTTAATTTTTAAAAAGTGCAGTTGACCTGAAATGGAAAAGAACTGTCTTTATGTTCACTGTAAACTTGTCAAAAGGAATCTGCTCTTTAAAAACTGTGCTAAAACAGTCATTTATACAACAGAGCACTAGATGAAGCTACCATAAATTCCTCTTCACCAATTATTACTCTATTGTGTCAGTTATAGTACTGCATATACGTAGAAGAAGCAAAACGGTGGTAGCTACTATTAGTGAGTACAACAAACTAAATGAATTATTTGAGTTCAATGTTTCCATGAAGTAGCAATAACATTTAAACCACAGGACAGTTAGAATTCAGTACTTCGAAGTGCATAAGAGTCACACTGTTGATCATCAGCAGTATGGAGAAAGGTTACTGTAAAGTCAGCAGTAATGGTCGGAAAGAACATGGCAACACGACAGATTAAAGGTTATCCAACATGGCAAGTCTGCAGCTCCTTCCACAGCCGAGGGGTTTGTCGGTATCGCACACGCAAGTGTAATCCTAGCCAGCAGTAACCATTGCAGTAACCATTGCAGTCTCCAGGCTTGGTACGCACCAAACAAGGGTATTGAAGAGAAAACAGCATCCTCCTCCTCCTCCCATCAGTAGTTCTAGAGTAATGGACCACGTTTTAGACACCGCCAGGGTGTGGGAATGCACGGGAGCAATATGCAGCCTCTACGCTTGGTAACTTCCACTGCTGCTAGGAGCATGAATTCACTTGCCATTGTTCCAGTCTTCACAACCTCCAGAGACAGAGTTCTGACGTTATCCCACGCTGTAAACATCTAATTCTTCCTCTTCTAAGCACATCCTGTGTCCAGGATTGCACAAAGTAATTCATAAGGATTCTGTGAAACTCAACATGTTCACGAAGTAGCTTTCCCTAAGTGAACTTTGTTCTCTGTTTCTCCTACAGACCATTGCTATTCCTGTGGCTGAGTGGTGGTTTTGAAAGCTCTACAACTGCTGAGCGAGATTTATTGAGAAACTTTGGAGCCCGACGCAGCAACCTCTGTGCCTCAGTAAAAGCTTCTGTCAGCTCTTTTTTCCACTGAACAAATTCTGGGTCACTCTGAAAGAGATACAAAAGTTGTTTGGCACTTCACAGTAAACTGCCAATAGCATCTTCTCTCTTAGCACTTTTAAGCAACTTATTTTAGTTTTCCAAAGGAATCAGTAACTTTGGATATCGAAAATGGGCAGCCCTTTGCTTCTCCATCACCCCGCCGAAGCCAGGCAAGGCAGCAGCGACTGCAGCCGGTCAAGGTGTAATGAGGACTTGTGTACTTCCTCCCTCGCAAACACATTAGCTACCATGAACTAACTGCGGCGAGGCACGTGCCAACAAGGCCTTCGAAGCCCACGTAGGTTGAGAAGTTTTGAAGTTTTTAGCTATTTATTAAACTGAACTCATTTTTGGCCCAAATACCACTGAAATCCATGCCAGAAACTGGCATAGCTGCAGCTTTCCTGCTTTCAGAATTCAAGTGTGATAAAAACTTCCCAGTTTTGCTTAGGTTCAGCTTTGCGTCGTAAAGTTAGTAAAAGTAACACTTAGTGAATACATAACGGGAGGACCTGGAAAACTTTTCAATAGTTTTATCATATGTAAAACAATCTGATTAACAGTTATTGAAAAACAAGCATCTCACCTCACACTGCAGGACAAACTGTTTTCCTCCTTTAATTCTCAGTAAGATGCATTTCTTATCTTTAATTTGTGTTTCTTCAACAGATACTATTTGTTCCATTGTCAGTAGGTTTTGCTGTAGCATTTGCAAAAATAAAGCAGAGAGATGATTCGAAAAAAACTGTTGCCCATCAAATAAAGCCACTCTCTAATTTTTCTGGACTACCCACATGAATCAAGTTATGAACATTCACAGTCATTACACAAACATTTCTTGACTTCTGAAGACTGGGTCATGAACTAAAGATAGATTATAAGGTAAGAGGGAGATTTAGCAAGGCTCTTGGTTGCTTCAACAGAGACAACGAAACATAAGCTAAGAAAGCCAGTAATGACAGCATGAAATAAGAATCTACAAATAGGTGTGCCTACAAACAAAATATTCATTATTTTCCCACAAGAGTTGCGTATAATTTTATATATTTTCCAAGTATTACTGCTGTTATTTTAAAAAAAAAAAAAAAAGGCAATCTCACTATTTCAAAGAGCTGAAAGGGAATATTTAAGCACTATATACTTACAAAGAAGCAAACATACACAACAGTTTGCAGAAAAGCTTTCCCTATAGACTGTAAGAGGAGAACAATGTTTTGAAATTCCAAAACCTTACTTAAGTATACAAATGATCTGCCTAGCACATGATCACAGCTGGACTAAACTAAAGTCACTATAGCATTTTATTTCAAAGAAAATGCTATAGCATCTATGACCTTACCAGTTTATGTTTTTTTGTATAAATAGTCCAGAGGTCCTAAATGAAAAACAACACCATGAACTACCAAATTCCTTTAAAAACATAACAAAACAAAGTAAACAGGTTTCTCAAGTCAACTTTACGTTTCCTTAGTGCAGTGCAGCTACCCATTAACTAAAGCGATACTCAAGATAAGTTACTCAAATCCACCGGTCATTTACTCGGACAAAACTCTGCTTCCACGGGAGGTATGCCTGAGTGTGAGTTCTCAGATTTCCCTCAACATCCACCTGCCTTTCATGCCCTTGGAAGCTGCTGCTCCCTAGGGTAACCTCACTTACCCGTGACTCTCCTTCTCCTCGCCATTCAAGTCGGTTTGGGAAGAGGTAAAAGTAACGACGCTGCCACTGAGTCAAGAACGGATTCCCCAATTTCAGCATGTATCCGTGCATAATACAATCCTTCCCAAGTGCGTAATCTATAACAAGAGGAAGCATTAGTACGCAAAACAAGGTACTGCCTAAAAGCATTCTGCAATTGTGCTACGTTGGGGAAGGACACAGTCCTGGAACACAACGCGACTCAACGTGCTCTCCCCAGGCTCGCAACAGTGCTTCTACGCGCACAGGCACACGCAGAGCCAGTTCTGCCTTAATGACATGAGCTGATGCGGCTGCAGCGGAGTAACCAAGAACAGAATTTGGTTCTTAAAAAAGTATCTTATCAACTATTAAAAGAATTGTATATTGCTATCCGAAGTTCACAGAGTTTGTGATGCAACATCCTCGTGCAAACAAGGGAGGTTTGCTGTAAAGGACCTCCTGTTTTCTTTCCCGGCTTCTTTGTCATGAAATCAAATCCCACATACTCTTTTCTGAGCATACACCATAAACAAAAATGAGGAAAGGCTGTACATGATAATCTTTAAAAGAGAGTACAAAAGATTTTCCAAAACATTATGTCATACAGCATTTCAAAACATTAAGAAACGTCTTAAGAAACACGATACTGACTAAATGAATTCTAACAATTACTGGTGAATGACAGTAATATGAGAGTCTGTTGTGTGGAACTTCAAACACATGAATTACTATCTAGCAGCAAAAGATGCAGAGAAGTGTATTTGACAGATTACCTTCCTCGTGGCCAAGCTGCTTATTTTTAGCCCTTTTTCTGGCCTCAATTTTATCTGTGTCTGCATTTACTGCATCATAAACAGTTTCTGCTACTTCTTGCTGCCAACGCTCCGATATTACCAGAGGGAAGTTCTTATATAACTCCTGGTCACTATCAAGCAACTTGCAAGAGAAAAACAACAGAAAAACCCAACATTTTAATAACTTTTACTATTCTTATTCCCAATAATTAATAGTTACCCATATAACAGTATTATTTTAAAAGATATATTGAACTCTAACCTCACCAAAACAACCAGGTGCGAACAAGAGCAAACACACATACTAATTTAAGCAAAGATATTCATTTATATAGAGAGAACAGGCCACCTGTTCAAAACGTGTTTGGTTCGATAGCTCTAGAAGCCTCACGCTGTTGCATAATCTGTGTTAACAAAATGTTTAATTGTGTTAAGAACTTTCTCAGCACAAAAATTCCATGAATAAATGAAAAGATACCGTTTACACAACGATGCCTTCCACGCTTCCGCAGCTTAATTTTACATTCTTAATAAGTAACCTTCAAAATTCAGCAGCGCATGCTGCAGACCTCAATTTTCCTCTTATATAGATTCTTTTCTCCCCTAACCCTTAACTGCAAGTACTTGAATTGAATTATACTGAAGGAAACTAAAATTACTGGATCTTCAGGAAGGACTGTTCGTTGCTTGACACAGCCATAGTCTGGGTCTAGCCACAAGGCACTTGGATGCGGTACATTTCCCTACAACTTTATTAAAGGTTTTCATTTGGGGCTGAGTTTAAACTCTCTGCAGCCACTCCTCAGTTGTTTCAGTCAGTCAGCAGAGAAACTAGACCCTTCTTTCAGAGAGCAAGGCAAAGAGGCATCCTTTGCTGCGTTACGCACGCAGTAAGCCCACTAGACTGCAGTGTCCGACAGCGGGCAGGGCCGGGTCCAGTCCTCGCTGCAGCGGAGTGCCAGGGGAAGGCAGATCCCGACGGAAGGGCACGCACGCACACCGCTGCTCAGAGCAAACCCAGCGACTCCAGCCACTGCTGCAGCACACAGCGGTTGCAGGAGCAGGATAGGAAAGCCTTGCTCAATTCTCCTTCTGCAGCCAGGCCAGACACTCCCAGAGCAGATATTCTCCTCCTTTTCAGAGATCCACAGCCGTATCACAGCAGGAAAATACATGCCGGATCTGAAGGCAGAAGGCTTCTCAGCAATTCTGCGCAAGTGGCTGACAGGGATTCCTTCTGGCATCCGAGTAAGAGAGGAAAGCCACAGCCATCCACTGTTGGCTTTCCAGTTTGTAACCTCAAAGAACACGTGTTCTTCTTGTTCTTCTCGGTGTCACAGGACACTCTGCAGTATAAATATAATCCGCAGGGGCAACGGAGGGGAGCAAGGCACTCAAAACTGGCGTCCTCAGGGGCAGAGATGGCTCCTGACACCTTAATGGAAGCTCCGACTGCAGCTGACTCAGACGCACGAATTATTCAGTCCCTTCTAAAAGACTGTGACATCCCGGTGAAAGCGCAAAGAAGCTGTACATGATATCCCTCACTGACTCATGACTAAGAATAAATTTATCTTATAGGCAGCCTGAACAAAGATTACATGGAAGCTATACAATTTACAAGCCTTGCTGAGAATACCTGATCCCTGAGAATACCTGATCCCCTCAATAAATAAAAAGACCACCTGGTTTCCCCTTGCAAAACGTTCCTCCAAATTATGGCACTCCAGAACTGCAGGAAATTGGAATCCTGTTAGACTAACACTGACACTGAAGATGTGGCGTTTTCTGGGATAAAGAACATCTTGGGTTCTCTGCATTTCTCTTTAAACACGTAAAATCTTTTCTGTGCCAACTTCTGTAATTACAGCAGGTGACACTGACAGACAAGTTCCTTTTTAGGCACAGTGAGTACTTAACATGTTTTTTTGCTTATAAAGTTTAGAGCAATTAGTTTCTCTCCTGACTCACTTCTGTAACAAGAAGAATAAAGTTTCATCTACTGAAGAAACGTATAATAAAAATAATGAACGGGACAGACCCAAGGCAAGCACTGATTCACCTATTGTCTCAAAGTACCAGGGAGGCTTCAGAAGAGGGGATGAATACACAGGGTACATCACACCACCTCCATGCAAGTCAGAAATGGGCCAGCAGCCTTAACGTCTCATTTTTGCCTTTACATTGTTTGCATTAGATTTTGATTAATACCAGAACCTGAAAGTTTCTTTTCTCACTTTTCCAAGTTGCTACCATTAATATACAGCTTGTCATTTGTAAGAGTTTTCCAATGCGCTCTCTGACCATGAAGTAATACTATTAAAATAAGGTTTAGCTCAATTCATCCAGCTACCAGAAACAAATTACAATTTATAAAACTACAAACCCTTAAGTATTCTTGAAAATCTGAGGATTTCCCAAAAGTTGTCTGACCATCTGAAATATTTGCTTTATCATATAAAACTTTTGATAGGAAGGTAGATTTCAGTCAAGCTAAAAAATAAAACATAAGGACTTGGCAAGCAAAAACCAACCAGCCAACCAGCCCAAGCTCTTTCATAACAGCATAGATTAAGTTTCCAAACTTGAAAGCAATTCCTTGCACATTCAGTAGCCCCTGAAGCAAAGGAATGGCATGCACACATGAAAAGTTCAGCACAGCAGTCACAGTGCCATTCTCTACCTATCATTTAAAGTTGTATTACCTTAATGCCTTTAGTGTCCTCTTCATCAAATGACCCAATATCAAAAGCATCTGCTGCATTTACTTCTCCCCGGGGAGGAATCAATGGTGGAGGATACTAGAAATTAAAAGTAGCATAATTAAAGACAAATTAACGGACATTATTTAAATCCATTCTGTAGATATAGATGGCCTTTTTATTTTTTTTTTTCACAGATTACACAAGACTGTGCAAAAGTATGTTCCTTGAAATTAAACTTCAGTGCAAAAAAGTTCTCCACTCCTTTAATAAATGGTCCTCCAAAAATTCAGAGAAAAAAGCCTGAAAAAGTAGTAATTCAGTACTACCGATCAGGAAGACTTGTAGTAATGAATATATAGCAGTTTTCATCAACAATCCTCCACATATTCATGCAAATGAGTACATGTGCTGGGGACTGGAACCCTGAAGTTTTCTGCCCATTACCTGCTTAGGCTTATTTTCTTTTTACTGCTTTACCAAGTAAGCTAAGGTTACTATCTGAATCCTTTACCTTTTGTAAATAGACTTGCTGCCAATCAATGCCTTTGAAGAAAGGATGTTCTTTTACTTCTTGTGCACTGCAAAAGAAAAGTAACTGAACTCAATAAAATGAAGGGGCTTTTCAAATATATTTGAGGAATACAAAGCCTTCAAAGATCACATTTCTATCACTTGAAAACGTCGGTAAAATGCTCTTTTTTCCAAGGGGAAAAAAAAAAAGGATTCCTAAGTGAACAACAGAAGACTTTCACATGGAAACACTGGAAATAGTGCTGTAGGTCTGGCAAGCAAACACTCTTGTTTTGCTATGGTATTCCGTCATTTCAAACAAACAATGCTCATCTGTTGTCAGATCCCATACGCTACTTCTAAGTAACAAGCTTACTCCACTCCGTTTGATATTAAACATATTTTATGGCAAAATAAGCAACTACTCTTGATAGGCCCAAGGCTGAAAAGCAATCTCAGGTCATTACCACAGAGGTCTCCATGATAAAAAACCCTCTGAATATCTCACTGGCATTAGATCCAGCCCCAGTCTCAAGTGTGACTATCAATTAACAGGTATCACACATTGCCAAGGGTTTCTCAACAGTTATTTACTCCTCTCATAGTTTTCCCTCCTAGTCTCACACGAGGCACATGCTGGCTTTCTAAATAGGTGATAACAACAATTTCAGTTAACAGCTATAAGCAAGGTAAGCTTGGCAGGAGCAAGTAGTGTTTTG